AGAGTTAAAATTCTTTATAAACTCCTCTATTCAGATATAAGAAAACTACGATATACTTTTATAAAAATATCAAAAAAACTTTACGCAATTGGTTTATTTATTACAAAAACACAGAGCGATTTTTGTTCCAGAAATTTAAAGTTTTCTGAGTTCATAACAAAATCTCGCGTTTTATTTTTGTAATAAAGATACTTATTGCGTAAGATTTTTTAAATATTTTTATAAAACCCTTCTATAAATGATCATTTGATAGAAGGATTTGATATTTGAATTGAAAATTTGCTACATTTTTAAAATCTTGACAAGAAATGATTGGTTCCGGGGAAGCTTACCAAGCCAGGAACACAAAGTCAAGATTTGTGAAATTTAGAAGATCACTTTTAACTTTTTAATAATGATCGGTGAATAACCTCTGAGATATATTCTGAGATAAATTGAGAGAATATATGAAGTTTTTGTGTTCCTCCGAAAGCGGGTGCTACTTCAGCAAAACTCCGCCTCACGCGAGGCACGCTTATATATTAATAAACTCTTAGATTTTGAAGGAATAAACCTTCTGCACCACCCAGCTTACTCACCAGACCTTTCTCCATCAGAATACCGTCTTTTCAAATCGATGTTAGATTTCCTTTGAGAGAGACACTTTGAAAACAATCAAAATATTGGAAAATTGTTTCAAATACTTAAATAAAATACTCTTCAAAAAGTTTCTTCTCTGATTCATTACTATAGGCAAACTTTCAAGTTGAATATCTCTTCTACAAGCGTTTCTTCTAAATATAAGCATTTAAAAATAAATATTTTAAAAAAGGCCCTTATTTGCGGCTGTATTCGAGCCTAAAAGACTTGCCTTGAATATTGCTTTATGGAATAATTCCAAATATTCCCTGATACTTTGATTCCAATCACCTTGCCTTTAACATCACTGATGTGATAATCGATCATAATCTTGTGTCTTGTAATATGGACAAACTGTGAAGTCAATGTTTATACTATTGTATTGAGATGATAAAAGAGCTTCTAATTATAATCTTTCTGTCTTCGATACTATGTTCTGATAATGGCCTTCAACATTCAAAACGCGATGAAATTGGAAAATGTATTTAGGGAGATTTTGCTTCTAAACATAACGAATGGTGCAAATCTGGAATTTAGAAGAAGGATAGATTAAATTTTGAAGATAGGTTTGTTTTATTATCTTTCATAACATTTTTGAAATTTTGGTTGTGTAAACATATATTTTTACTATATATATATATAGAGAGAGAAACTTCTTTTTTTACTCTACAAGCAATGTTCTGTCATTTTTATACTATAACTAGCGGATGTGCCCGGCTTCGCCCGGGTTTTACCCGAGTGAATGTTTGTCTAACGAACATTTGTTAAAACAATTCTCTATAAACTTATAAAACGTACTCGGCTTCGCCCCGGGTTTTACCCGAGTAAAGGTTTGTCTAGCGAACATTTGTTAAAACAATTCTCTAGAAACTTATTTAAAAAAATATATATATTTTGATAATTTGAAACTCGTAAATTTGAATCTCTCGATAAAGTGAACATTTTTTCCCGGTCCCTGTGTGCCGTGTCATCCTGAATTTTGTCTTTCTAATTTTCTACATTAGAAAATCATAGTTTTATCTAGTGGACATTTTTTTCCCGTGTCACATTGCCGTGTCATCTGAGATAATCTTACTTTTCATAAATAATTTTTAAGATAACAAACTTAGTGATAAGAAAACTTGTTATCATCGTTACAATGGGGGCGCTGCTTGCGAGTTAAATCTACAAATCTGCAAATAACTCTAAGGATATTCAAGATATTCATGAAATTATTTTTCAAAAACCTTCCCGGTGATATACCTAATAATATCCCAAAATTTCACGGCGATTGGATGTATGGTTTTTGAATCTATAGAGTACAGACAAACAGACAGACATTCAATTTTATATATATAGATATTATAATTAATCAATACATTCATTCTATCTATCATATTTTCATTATATTTCAAATTTAATATTCAACTTATATCTAAAATAACGTGGAAAATTTAAAAATGATAACATTGAGAGTTTTAACAATAATTGAAGTGTGTCCAAAGTTTGTACATAGATTTCGATTGTTAAAATTCGATTCATACAATTACTCGTATATGAAAAGATAAAATTAATTAACAAGGTCAGGCAATTACAATGACTAAAAAGACATCATGTCCCGAGCCGCTCAATAAGCTTTTTAGATGACAAAGCGACATCTTTAGAAAAAATAAAAGTCAACTGTACGTTGATATTAAGTTTATTTCAGGAGTTTGGTCAACCTTCTTCTTTGACAAATCAAGAAAAGCCAACCGCGTTTTGGGGCTGTTGGCTGTATATATATTTTAAGTTATTAGTAAGTCCCTTTAGGGGAGGACCAGCCTTTTTAGTAGTTGAGATACAGTCTACATCACGCTGACAAGAGCCAACAGCCCCGAAATGCGTACATGGCTGGTGATTTTGATTCGTCAAGAAATGATTTTAAAATATCCTGGAATGAATTTGAAAACACAGAGTTTAGTTGATATTTATTCATATAGATGGAGCTCTCCCATCTAAAAATCTTTCTGAGCAGCTCAGGGTCTGTATTTCCTTTCATAATTACTTATGCGTGAACGTTCTTTCAAAAATATATTTCAAAATGTGTGTTGAATGTATATTAGCTAATCTTTCTTGTTTGACACATTCTTTTTTTCAAATGATGTTTTTTTTTTTTTAATTTTGTGTCAATCAATTTCTCTTAGAATCTTTTTTATTTATAAATTGCTCCGATAAAAAAAATCCTTACTTTCAGCTGTCAAAGAGAAAATGCATGATACATTAGTTAATAATTATATAGAATAAAAAATATAAAATGGTTTTATTATGGGTTAGGAAAACTTAGGTAATTATTGGCAACATAGAGTGAATTGTAGCTTGTACGGGTCACCTCCCTTGTCAAGGTTATCGTGGTGCTAATCTAGACCCTAATTAGAGGGAAATTTTAAAAATTCTCTTTTTTATTGCTTTCTCTCTCAGCTACCTTGTTATATTCCCTCATTAACTACACTATTTTGAAAGGATATTTTGAAATATATACACACATGGACAAAACTTAAGGAAGTTGTACCTTTTACATAGTTTGTTCCAAAGTCTCGCCATAACTCGAAAAGTACTGAATACTTTTAATTCAAATTTTGTAGACATATATATCAAATATTTGTTAATATATTGTGTTAATTATATAATTTAAAATATTCTCCAGTTGAGTCTATACATTTTCTCTAGCGTTGAACCAACGCTGTAAATCCGCTTTGGAAATATGCTGGAGGTTGTTTTCTCAACCCTGTCTTTATGGACCGTTTAACTTCCTGTAGGTCTTCAAATCTTTGTCCCTTCAGACTTTTTTCATTGGGGAGAATAAATAAAAGTCACAAGTTGCCAAATCTGGGCTGTATGGGGGTTGTGGAACCAGTGACCAGCTCATTTGTTCAATAGCTTCTGAAGTCTGGAAGGAGGTGTGCGGCCGTGCATTGTCATGGTGTAACTTGACTTATTTAAGAAGAATCTCTGGTCTTTTTTTCGCGCGAATAGCTTCCTTAAGCTTTCTTAAAGATAGAACATAGCGAGAACTATTCACCGTGCTACCTTCTTCTAGAAAACCAACCAGTATTATACCTCGCATGTCCCAAAAGACAATTGTCATCACCTTTTTGGATGACCTCAGCACTTTAATTTTTTTCTTAGGTTAGCTGGAATGATTTCCTTCTAATGACTGTGTCTTAGTTTATGGGTCATAAAAGTATGCTCAGGTTTTCATCTCCAGTAACCATATTTGAAAAAGGTATCATTTTGGGTCTTATAGAGATTCAGTAGCTCTTGGCATAGTTGAACCCTTTCACAAGACTACATCATTTTGTTTTTAAATATCATTCATTGGTTGGAAGTTTGTTAGGAAAAATATAGATTCATCAACCAATTATTTATATTATTCCGACTTTTCAGTAACTTGCTGTCAGGGGAGTTGATGTAGCTATATTTTCTAAAACTACATTACATCATATAGTATTTTGGTTCGTCCTGACCTGGTTACTGAATGTATGGCAAAATAGGAGGTTCTATACACTCAGCATTATAAAAGGCGTAAATAAAAAGATCAACGTGTACCTATGATGGTATTTTGATCATATGTTTGTGTCAATTGAATATGTAAATTACTATTTCCATTAAATTCTATGTTTACTTCTTATTCCCCAAGTTTTATTTTCCGTGGGTCAATTTATTGAACTACGTCCCAGAAACTTCCATTCGAATACATCATTAATTAGCGAGATAGTTGTGTAAATATTTTTGTAATCCCATAGTCGCCAAAGTAAACGATATTAAATATTCATAATAAAGGGAGATTTGAAACTATAACAAACTGATATAGACCTTTTTTAAATTTATTTCGAACCGGATTTAAACTAGCGACCTAAGGATAACTGCTGACACATCTATAGTCCTCCGCTCTCCAACTGAGATATCGAGAGTTGTGTGCTTTAAATTCCTCTAGATCACACTGAAGTATTTTGCGTTATTCAACGAAATCACAAAATATTTGCACAATTATCTCGCTAATCATGATGTATTCGAATGGAAGTTTCTGTGACGTAGTTCAATAAATTAACTCACGGAAAATGAAACTTGGGGATAAGAAGTAAATAATTTTGCGTTATTCAGCGAAATATTAAAAAACTGATCATACGAAAATCAAATGCTATTTATCAATCAAATTTCAATTATATATAATATAATTATATAATCAAATTTCAATTATTACTTCTATCTATTTAATATATATATATTGAATATATAGAATTATACAATTGAAATTTGATTTAGTGTTATTGATAAATAGCATTTGATTTTCGTATGGCCAGTTTTTGATATTTATTGAATAATGCAAAATACTTCAGTGTGATCTAGATAAATTTAAAGCACAACTCTCAATAGCTCAGTTGGCAGAGCGGAGGACTTTAGATGTGTCAACGGGCTATCCTTTAAGTCGCTGGTTCAAATCCGGTTCAAGATAAATTTAAAGCAAGTCTATATCAGTTTATTATTGTTTCAACTCTCCCTTTAATATTAATGTATAATATCATTTACTTTGGGTACTATGGAATCACAAAAAAATATTCTCACAATTATCTCGGCAATCAATGATGTCGTCAAACTAAAGTTTCTGTGACGTAGTTCCATAAATTGACTCACGGAAAATGAAACGCTAAAGGAAGTAAACATAGGAAATATTTTGAATAGTTAAACAGTGTGATATTCTTTTATGGTTTACATATTGTTAGTATTATCAATGCTAATTTGCATCTCTGCCTATATATCACAGCTTTGTTAGATTGTGTTGGCTAGCGGTTATTGGATAGGGCAGGTCGGCGTGAACTGCTGATGTATATGTAATCTCTTGTCCTTCTTTATTGTATTATTCCTTTAAGTAATAGAGGATCTTTCTTTTCTACGAATATATATATTTTTCTCAACAGGATTTAATGGAGATAATAATTTTAATATTCAATTGACACAAACATATGATCAAAATACCATCATATGTACAGGTTGATCTTTTTATTTGCGCCTTTTATAATCCTGAGTGTATAAGGCCAACTATATGTCTATACATTAAGCAACCAAGTCAAAGTATTATATGATGTAGTTTGGAAAATATAGCTACGTCAACTCGTCTGAGGAGAGTGACAGCAAGTCATTAAAACGTCAGGAATTAAATAAATAACTGGTCGATGTAGCTATGTTTTTGTAAACAAACTTCCAACCTACAAATGATATTTATAATATGATGCACTAGCGCGTCATCTGTTATCAAAATTCAAAACTATTTTAAAGGCGTAAGATTCTTTTTTTATATTAAACAATTTCTACTGCCCTTACTGCAATGGAAAATTTAATGAGAGGGCCTGGCTCATCAGTGGTGAACCCTCTCAGCGGTTTCGCCAGTTTAATCTACCATACCGCTGTTATATTGCATTTTTGGAACTTCCTTTTATAGTGATACTGTTGATAGACTCTTTGAATGGGTATTTTAGAATGATATTTTAAAAATTATATAGTCTTATGGAAGGCGGGTCCGCAGTTCTTTGACTGTGGCTTTCAAATCTGTAAAGTTGAGGAACTGTCGCAGCTGGCGTTTCAGCTTGTCTTCTATATGGTCAATTGAGGGGAGTTAAGAACAAGCCATGGTAGAGACAGAACATCACAAAAAACGTCCATTAAGTGATATGTGGCAAGGTATCATAATGTTGGGAAACAGCTCCAGGAAAACAATGATGCTATAGAACGTCATTCATATAGCAATGTCACGTTAATGTGACATGTTAAGTCAGGTTATTGTAGGATAACCTACCATGATGCTTGCAGTCCGTGAAGAGTGGCGGTCGACAGTTAAAGTTGAATTGTTCCGGTGGTCTCCACATACAGTCATCATCTGATACCAAATCGTCACTAAACATCATTGATCACTAATAATAGCGGTTCCAAGATAATCGAGCTTGGTACCATTGTAAACGAAGAGCCGTGGTTCGGGGTGTTAACACAAAAGTGATGATATCGAATATTCGCTCTTTTAAGGTGACTTGACTTGTAGCAGTTTTTTATTCAGAAAGAAGTGCTCAACGTGGGATTCGATCCTGAGTCATGGCTGTCGAGAATCGATGAACTATAGCACTCGTCCACCGACATCCCATAAATTCGAATATTTCTGTAAAGTCGATTTTGAAGAAGAAGCTTCTCAACAATATTGATTTTTCATTTTTAAATAAAGGAAGAATTTCTACAGCTGTATTGAACTGAATATACATAGCTTTTAAAATCAAAGATACTTCGGCCAGTAAATATTTTCATTATCTCGACGTTTCGACAAAAATCTTTTGTCCTCGTCAGGAGCGAACAAAAATAAACTTTTGGCAAAGCGTTGATATGCGTTAATAAATGGAAAGTTTTGAGCAGTAGAAAATTGCTTCAATTCAAAAAGAAACATACGTGTCGAAATAGTCTATATTTCTTATAAAAAAGTGTGTCAACACTCAACAATTGGAGCCAAAAATCTCGCCCCAAAAAAACCCATTAACGTAATTAATTTATCAAAAAAATAATAAAATTCAGCACAAGTTAGAGCGTTGCTGTGCAGATGTCTTAGTTTTGCTCCCCCTCTTCACAAAATTGAATATCCTTAAAAACAATACCATCAATAGACACTTCAATCAGAAACTTATCAGATGAAAACAAGGAAAAGGTTAATACAGAAATTACCTCTATTTTTTTTATTTATTTTTTTTTTCAAACAACTTAAATCGACAAAATAAGACCAATTTAAATCCTTATAAAAGAAAACAAAGGCGCTATTATTTCTTGTCAGACAAAGGTAATACAGTAATTGTAGATGCCAAAGATTATAACAACAAATTCTACCAATTTAGGAAAAAAATAAATGAGCAACTTCCTGTCCATTCACTACCAAATATCATAAATGTTTTTATTAGAAAAATAAATAAAATAAAACGCGTAATTATTGTTGCGAGTATCCGCCTGAAAAAACCTACAACCTCCTCCAATAGATGGCGCTTTGGGCTATTTCTAGTCTGGGACTGGTGTGGGAGTCGCTTACTGCTGTGGTCCTGGGATGTAAATTACTGTAAATACCTGTTAATTGATATTCGAGTTATTGTGTAATGTGGATTAAAGATGACAATAATAGAAGAGTGTTAGCAGACTTGATGCCGGTTGCTGTTGAGACTTTCTCTCCAACACCACAGTAGCTACTCTTCTGGTAAGTCTCTAGTGTCTCCTCACCAGTGGTAAGGCCGGGAGATACTGCCAGAGAGAAAGGAGATCCACGGGAGTAGTGGTTCTCAGAGGGTCTTTGGACTGCCTGCAGGGTAGAGCTGCAGAAGTGAAGCAACGGAGCCAGGGTAGGTGATCCACGGTGGAGGAAGCGGCGTCGTCGCGAAAACCCAGATGGGAAACGCGCGATAATCTATATAAACTAGACCAAAATTATATAAAAGCTGAGAGAAACTAAATGTGATCTACCATAATTATACCGTCTACCAGGGCTACATAAACAAAACATTCCACTTCGTCCCATAGTTCACCGATATAATTCACCCTTCAGCAATATCGGCTACAATATCAGAAATTATTACATAGATATGGAATAATAAAGAGTGATGATAAAATGATGTAATTCGTTTCCCGAATCTCTAACTATTCAAATTTCCCATGTATTGAGCTAATTTGCATATTCTGGGATTTAAGCTAGGAAAATGACTCTATCCAAACCTAATTGTCATGTTAGAGTTTCATCTAGATCGACCAGATATTGCTAAAACGTTTTCTGAACAAATAAACAAAATTTATTCTTGATTTTGCAATATAGAGGGTTTACACTTTGATAAAATCAATGAGGAATATAGGGTTAGGTTTCTTTCTACAATTCTTCATTTCTCGAGCTTTTGGTCTAACATGCTCTTCAACACGGAGATCTAGAAGTAATACCTCTAGCCAATTATAACACGCCGAATTGGCTAGAGGTAATACTCGTATAGTGTGCAAAAAAAAAAGAATTAATGTATTAATAAGGGGGGGGGGTACATTGTGTCTATTTACCATTATATTCTATTATAGATGTGATATATCAATGAATACTATGTAAAATGTGAACTCTGTATTCTGATATCTATTATCATCCACGCGTGGAGGCCTCTTATATTAGTCAATGCTAAAACACTCTCGTAATTTGTAATGTAGATAATTACATTTTTTTCTGTAATTGGGTTTGCTTAATTGTGAAGATGCTACAATAGTCTCAGAACGAATGTAGTTGAAACCATTCTGATTGCCGATAATATTTTCCCTTCTTATTAGAGAGATCAAAACATTCTAATATATAATCAAAAACTTCCATTAACGGCTTTACTTTTGAATTTTTAATGTAATTATAGAAAGTATATAATAACCTGATTTACGGGAAAAAGAAAATGGCCTGTTGTACCGTCTGCTATCTTGAGAGTTTTTCTTCTTGCTGCAATAGGCACTGGATTATACGTAGACGATTCTACGTTCAACGGAACTGTGGATTTTTAAGGAGAAAGGAAGTATTTCAATGTGGTGACAAGCATCTCCTGATGCTGAACGTTGCTACTAATCTATCCGTCCTTATGATAGATGGCGCTCTACAATCAACAAGCTTGGAAATTTTCATATCAAGAAGTGAGTATGCAACAAACGCCTACCTATTCAAATATAGAAGATAAAGCCTAATGTGTAAATGAACGCAGTTTGGTTTGTAAATGCCTATGACAGAACACTCTGAAGCGGTACACATCAACAGCACAAAACATTTTCCTTAAGATACAGTGTTGCGAAAAGCATCATGATCGCTCATAAACGGTAGGGTGATCAAATCGCCGTGTGGCACGTCACCTCAATCATTCTGACTTCATCTGGTTGTGTTAGGAGCAGTAGATACAAGATGGCCCCTGCGCCTCGTAGGTACAGATTCCACAGTGACCCAGTCCGCAATATAAGATTGATGTTGGGGCTCTAGGTTTTCAAGAACCACTTTGTCACACTTGTAAGTGCAAAATTCGAACTGCTTTCCAGATATATAGATATGTTGTGCACAGTAAAGGTAGTCGCCAATTACTACCCACCATGATTATCATAACCGGTACCATGTCTACTATGGATAATGAAAAAATTAGATTTATTCTCCTCAATATTAAGTACGACCGATTTAACGAAGCATAAAATAAATATTAAGGTTAATAAACCAATCAAGCACAAGCCTTACCTGGTTAATGCGACAGAGAGACAATATTGACAAATACAAGATGTTAAGACAACGATAAACTTCCTATTCGCTATAGAATAAGAAACAAAAATCGGGAAGAAGAGCTTATTTGTATAAGAAAACAATCTTATAAGCTTTCGGAAAAGACTCCCTTCTAAGGGTAATTTTCCCGAAAGCCTGTGCGATAGTTTTTTTTATATAAAGAATCTCTTCTC